TTCATTCATTCATTCATTCATTCATTCATTCATTCATTCATTCATTCATTCATTCATTCATTCATTCAACGTTTGACCAATCTTCAATTTCGTTTTTCATATATAGGAAGAGTTTCACGGATGTATTCGTAAGTATTTTGCCATATTCCGATTTGTTACTCTAAGATGATCTGGTACGCACCCTCTCATCCATATAAAAAAATGAATTTTTGTATGTAAGCATATATCAACCGTAATGAGCCTGACCTCAAATATGGATACTCTTAATGGAAGTAAGCAACTTTATGTAGCCGCTGGGTAAAAACTTTCATTATGTAAAAAGTACACAGTTTGCCAACTTGCTAATACCTTTTTCAGTAATACACTATTTCTTTTGATACGAGGCAATGGTCATCATGTCAGTCCTTCCTTGGTTCCATGTGCGCTTTTTTGAAAACTGTGTTTGCATAGATCAACCAATTTACCATGTTTGTTTGCAAAGTATTAAACTTCGTTCGTCGTCCTTAAACTGCACTGCCTTGATATATGGGAGGAAGCATACCATTCAAACAAATTATACATTTCAGGCAATACAAATTTCTCAACAAATTAGCAATTCTAATTTTCTCTAAAAAAGAATCGTATGAATTTGTCACAATCAAAACGTTTCCAATCCATTTGCAGCGACTGTGTCGACATGCGCAACACTCCAGAAACGTTACGAGATTTACTGTGAACAAGATGCAAATGATCGTCCATATCGTCAAAAAGCTCAAGAATTCTGTGAGAGTCGTGGTGGCACTCTCGCCGATATAAAAAACCGTGCTGAGGATGCAGAAATTAGAAAGTTTATCTATGCTAATAAAATGGATTCTCCAGAATGCGTACGAAACTTTGGTTTTTGGATAGGATTGCAAGATGGCGATGGCGCAGATGAAGGAGTATACAAGTGGGGAGATGGAACCACACCTTGTTACGGAAACTGGGCAAAAGATAATCCTAACAACAATGTAAAGAAAAATGCAACAAGTGGTCAAGACTGTGTTCAGTTATGGTAAGTGAGGGCGTTGTTCACCAAAATACAAAACCTAGTATTGGCAAATATTAAAAATGCTTGTAATGATAAACAATGATACTCATAAGCAAAGTAACACTCAACACAATACTAGTAACATTGAGACAATATTTCATGATAGAAAGTAGCACTATATTTTGAAAATAACTAAAATTCAAGAAATTAATATTTAAATTATACAACATATGCTACCTTTCAGGGCCCGGCCTGGCAAAGGACTATTGTGGGATGACGAATATTGTGACTACCGTCCAAAGGGGATTGTGTGTCAGTTTATTGGTGAGTTAAAATTGTATTTGCGTAAATAACACCTCTAGAAAATGACAAAAGAAACATAGTTTAACATCAACTTATACAGGTTTGTATTATAATTTTTGTTGTGACATCCTCTTGCTAAAATAAGCCACTTCATTTCAGACAGGTTTGGGTCATTCAGATTCATCAGAATAGCGTGAGGTCACTATTCGTTTGCTTAATTATTCACGAAATAATTTGATTAGAGCAACTATCGAACATAGATCTTTGTCATTGCCAAGTTACAGTATGGGAACTCAACATGAGGTGTTAGTGACATTTATGTGAGCTTTTTTATTTATGAATGAGTTATTATTACAGAATAAGGGAATCTTACACATGTACAAAAATAGGTGTGCTATACAATTGAACAGAAGTTGGCCATCAATTGTGTGGTTATTGCGTGATAAAAGCGCGCCCTCAAGGTACAATAAGTTGTTTGTTCAACTTATATTGCCATTTTTTTTTTCAAAACAGACGAATGTGGCTGTGAACTTGAAGCAAGTGTTTGATCTGATTGCACAACATTTGACTCCCGAAGGTGATACTGACAAAGAATTCCGTGGCAGTAGTTGATGAACATGTAACAATAAAAATTACGTGCATTAAATAGTAACTGAGTGTGTTTAGTTTTGTTCTCGTTTGACGCTCGTCATTTCAAAATTGTGCTATGAAAAGAATGTCACAACTGTATAATGCAAGAAAAGATTACTACACCTCCCCGATTTGAAATGACTATTTTCATATCATATAATTGGACCCCAGTACGTCGTGAAATAAGATATCTCTGCCGTCCCGTGAACTTCGGAATGCACACGTTTCACTGTGGTTATTAATGATTAAAGTGGTCTCTTAAATAAGAAAGACACACAGTGTATTGCGAATATTCACATGGCCAGGAAGCATTTGTATTGAACAATTATTGTGAATAACCAATCGTGACTGTGACTGTGACTGTTACGCTTTGCACAAATTACCGGACGCGTGCACACAATGATAATAACACCATAACAAACTATTGACACTCCGATTGCAAAACTTCAGACAAGTCAAAGTAACCTATCTCAGTTTAATATTCCTATAGATTGTACAGACCAACCTTTATCCCAGGGCACGGAAAAAACTCACATATCATAGTAAGGCCTTGTATGGCCTTTCGCTGAACGATACCGTGACAAAGAACATAACATTGGTATTGTAACAGTAACCCGAGATACTGTTCATATACAAATTCACCATAGTCTCTCACACGAGATTGTTGGGGTATACTCATTTAATCACGAGTATTAATAACAACTAATATAACTTAGATTATTCTGAGTAGTTTTTAACTAAGTCCACATTCAAATCAACCAGACATTATCCACCAATTTTCACCTGAATTAGAAATTGTTTGCTGGCATAAATTACCAAAGTCACAGGGTTTAACAGGGTTAATATTAGAAATAAAAAAAAGCGGTTCCCAATCTTCTAGGTATAAAATTCCGAAACCAAGGTAAAATATTATGCACAAATAGGCAATATATGTATATGGCAGCGTGGATATATTAATACTCCATATTTAACAAAGGAGGTTTAGTTTAGACATTTAAGTTCAGTTTCAGTATAACTAATTCTTACAAGTTTAACAAAATGAAACAAAACTGATATTTCAGTTAGTCTCGAGCATTTCAGTGTGACTAAGGTATATGTTATAGTCTTCAAACATTGTCCAAACTAAGCGTTAGATAAATATAATCAAAGTTGTCCTCGTTTATGAATATCTTCACTTGGGAGTGTATTATGTTTGTGCATATATGTACACAATAATATGACCAAATTTCACGCGGTTTTCTATATAGATGCACGCACAATACTTTTAGAGGAAACATGTTGGGGTTGACAATTCTAGAGCGATCGGATACAAAATTCAAGGCCTCTGGTTTGTTACTGACCGTCATAAGTGTTGACAAATGACCCATATACACAATATCGTTTATATATACTTCATGAATTTATTCAGCACCGGAGAGTGATAATACCTATTAATCAAGTTACAATATTCAATGCAAAGGGCGCTATTGCATTACTCCTGTTAAAATATACACTTTTAAATGTAGACAATCATAAGAGGATTCTACATTATAAAAAAACAAAAAGATAATAAAGAGGGTGCAGATGCCTTTTATCTATGACATCAATTGTTGTTTTTCGATGATGTGAAATCTTTGTTGATCAACATGCCATGTAAATATTGTGTAGTAGCAATTCGCACGAGTAACAAAGTAGATATACTGTGCACATGTACATTCAGTGTGACCTGTAGAAGAGGGGGGGAGGGGTAAACACTCCGTATACCAAAGTACATGTGTTTAAAAATTATTAGTCGTTCTGGACATTTACACTAAAATAAAATAAAGATCAATTCATGTTCAAACAACGATACACTATGCAACGTATATACCTGACAATTTATAGACCACCAAAACACAGGGCTTTAACACGCTTTCTGAGGGATGGGGACAAATATGAATGAAGTTAACTAAGGGAATGGCCTTCTGGCACAAGGAAACACCTTTCACTAAAATTTATTTAGTCTAATAAAATAGTGAATTACTTAAATCATAAAGCTTAAATCACAAAAGAAGTCAATCGCCAATGTTATTTGAGTCGCTGTCGATACTGCAATAAAACCTAGTAATATGATAACTTGCTGCATGTCTTCATTTTGACGGTACAAGCTGGAAATTAAGAAGGGTAACGTCGAATCAATTTAAGTTCTGTGGTTGAATTTAATCAAAACCCCTCTATACTCCTTCATACATTTATTGCCGGCTTATACGTTTTGCACAGCAGATAGTGTTTTCGAATTATGATGTAAAAACATATTACATATGTATTATTTTACACGCATATAAGCACCAACAGTGGATTTATAATTTATCATGAATTCAAATATATGTTGTTTCTAATCATTGGGCCACAGCACACTCCCCCTGCGTCAAAATCGATTCTTCACGACAACATACACCATGCAATACACGTCATTATAGATTTCTGTATCTAGTTTACAATATTTCATATGTTGCACGTGTTGATGCTCGTATGAAAAATACACAAAATCCAAAATTCGAACCGAACTTCATCCTTTAAATACATTACATCGCATCAACTAAAACCTGGCCATAATCCGGAATAATACAAATATCTGTTTAATTATTGTATTTAGTACTAATATTTCGTTTGTAAGTTCCTAAACTAAAATGTATATGAATACACCATCAACTTCACAAGTCGATATCTCTGGTTAAATGCGATGAGCGTTATTATATGCCATTACACGGGTAACTACTCTGAGATGTGCAGTAGTTCTGAGTAGAGAAATAGACATTCCACTGTTTGATTTTAATTTTTTTTGCAAAGTGAAAATTAAGCTTATTTGGTAATGACAAACAAATCTGGCAACTAATATATTTGACATATTGTTATTCAGATAATCATATTGTATGTATTAGATACGCCAGTTCGATCCACATATGTGTCTTATATATAGCAATACATTACCCTGAGTTGTTTCCCGTTGTGATCGTACGGTATGCATGTTCCTTATGTCTAGGACAGTCTAGATATTATAATACGAAGGAACAGGGAAGTCTAGCTATTACAGTACGATGGTCTGGGTCAATGTATCTTTCATAAAACGATGGTCTGGGGTAGCCTCGTTATTATATCACTATTGTCCGGAACATTCTAGCTATATTATAAACTAAGACTCCGGAGAGTCTGGCTAATGCACTACGATGGTCTGGAGTAGCAACAATATTATATCACAATTGTCCGTGACAGTCTAGTTATTTAATAAGGCCCGGGCTATGGACTGGAGGGGGGATGTGACTTTCAAAATGTAACATGTTAATTACACAAAATATTACTTATACAAAATAGTAAACTATTGTCAATCGAAATGATGAGTGCAACTTGCAATATGTTTCTCGAATTATTTGCTCCTATTATTCGGATTGTCATAATTTTACTGATAATTTATAAATTTTAAATATCTGTATAAAACATGTTACATGAATATTTCATATTCTTTTTTTGTTCTCAATGTTACAAATTTGATATAGTTATACAGTGGCGGCGGCACGGGGGGGGGGGTAGATGAGTAGATGCCGCCTCCTCTGTTATAACACATTATATACATGTTTACCTATCTTCGTATAGTATGATTTTCCATCTTTGTATCCCTACCGTCTAGTGTGACTATTAAAAAAAACGCTTACGCTTTTAGTTTATATTATGGTATTCATTTCATCGTTACTAGGCGGTGACATCTAAGGTGAGAAATATTAAATACAGGAAAATATTTCATGGAAAAAATCAGCAGGATTATTAGAAATATAATTGCAATGACAAATTAACAAACATTATTTATTGCATTATTATTTACATCACAGCCTCCACTTCATTAATTTACATACATCTGTGGGTGTAAATGAAAGTGTGTACCCCGATAATATGAAATATGGTTTGGTGTAGATTCAATGACTCTTTGAGAACTGTGTTATTTGGAGGACCATTCGTTCAATGTACTGATATAAACACGTAAAAAACTAACTTTTGAATATCACAGAAAAAAATACGCTCTTATATGTCAAAATAGGTTTTTAAAGTCATTCAGTCAAATCCAAATCATCCTCCCTATATTGCTTCGATAAATGAGGAACGGAAGAACACGAGTGTGTCATTGTGAAACACGCGCATAATAACCTGTTTACTAAAACCAACAGCTAGACTTAAAAATAAAAATTAACAAAGTCAAATATTGCGACAAAAGGACAACGAAAAGCATAAATGACATATCCTGAGTTTTGAGTATTTTTTACTGTAAAAAACTGTGCACCCACTGGAACGTCATCACATTTGTGCCCACTGGTAGTAGACCATTTCACTTGTGGTCACGATACCACGTGAAACCTATATCTGATCAATTGCGTTGTTTTGCAAGTGTTGAATAACACAGGGCAGTGTAAAAAGAATTATGTGAGTCAACAAATCACGGTAATGGTATGTTCTGTCTTTTTTTCATGTAGGTAAATCCATAATAAATCATTAATAAAGCCTAATCATATGTTACTTGTATTCCTTGAGTGGATGTCATTGATGACCCAGAAGCCAACATTATTGTTTATCTAGCACAATCTCTTCCGTCTTTGGCCTTTCATTTTGCTGCTTTCGTATTTATTGGAAAAAAACCCAGACAGATTAGATCTGATGGGGTTGTCATCACTCGTGCAACGTTCACCATCAAGATTTTTCTAGTAGAGGTGGAATGTTGAGGAAGGGCATAGCGATGATGTTATGTCGATGTTTGTGATATTGTAGAGTGAATGCTTGGATCAATGTGATGAAGTATATCCAACATTATTATCCAACATGTCATAAAGTTTTATACTCAACATTTCTATGGCTGGATACCTGCAGTAGCTTTGTGGGATTCCCTTGTTATGAAGACGTTGAATAGTCGTCTTCCGGAATGGTTCTTTCCTAGGATACCTGCTTTATCATACATCATTTTGAACACTCTTTTCCCTTTATTTTAAAAATTTATAATTGATGGCTAAAAAGGAGAACCCA